GAGAACTCACTCCCTTTCAAGAGCGGGGTGCTGTTCCATTGTGGGAATGGAGCAGGGCTTGTTGAACAGTTTTTTACTATGTGGACTTTCTGTTGTTTCTAATCTGTTGCTATTAAAAAGAATACTTCAATATACCTTTTCTTTTGGACGGAGTTTCACTCTTGTTGCCCAGGCTAGAGTGCAGTGGCGAGATCTCAGCTCACCGCAACCTCCACCTCCTGAGTTCAAGTGATTCATTTTGCCTCAGCCTCCTGAATAGCTGGGATTACAGGCATGTGCCACCATGCCCAGCTAATTTTTGTATCTTTAGTAGAGACGGGGCTTCTCCATGTTGGTCAGGCTGATCTTGAACTCCTGACCTCAGGTGATCTACCCACCTTGGCCTTCCAAAGCACTGGGATTACAAGCATGAGCCACTGCACCTGGCTTAATATTACCTGTTAATATACTTATTTTTGTGCACAGATGGAACTATTTTTGTATGTAAAATTCTTAGGAATATAATTATTGGAGTTAAAGAGTATATACATTTAGAAGTATAGGTAATGCCAAATTGCTCTTCAAAGAAGTCACATAATCGTGAATATTTCAGAGCTTAAGTAGGAGACACACAGGTGTTCATTATATTACTGCCCATTTTTTTGTATGCTTGGATAGTTTACCTACGTATGTACAAGAAGTCACAATATTTACACTCCCATGAACAGTAAATAAACATGCTTTCATTTTCCCAACAGACCACTAACGAGATTTTAAATCTTTGTCCATCTGAAGGGTGGAAAATGGTATATCCCTATCGCTTTAATTGCATTTATTTAATCATGAGGGCAGCTGATCATTTTTTTCAGTAAATTGCTTTGCATTTCTATTAAGTTGTACTTTAATGCCTACAGACGGTTTCATTTTATACATGTGCCTTAATTTACTTAACGCTCTTCTTGAGGGTTATTTATACGATTTCTGAAAAACTGTGAATATCTTCTACGTGAAGGCTTTTTCTCTTCTCTTTTTAGACTTTTGTCTTCAATCTGCCATTTCAGAAGATGAATTGGTGGGTCAACAGTGTGGACACTTTTATGACTCAATGAATATTGTCAAATTGCTTTCTCAAAGGACAGTACAATATACAGTACCCCCAATTTTATTATTCTCTTATCAGCATTAGGTATTCTAAATACAAATTAGTTTCTTTCTAATTTTATAGGTAAATATGAGGCATTAATTTCATTTGTATTTTTCTTATTACCAGTGAGGTTGAATATTTTAATATGATTGTTTATTAATTGCATTTCACCTCTCTGAACTGTCTTCCTTTCTGCTTATTTACTGATAGCACATGCCTATACAAAGGAAATAAGATGATATCTTATCAGGGAAGCCTCTTTCCTCAGGCCCTGTGACCTTCTGGGAAATTATTGACTGATATCAGATTATCAAAGTCAATCTTTTACATGAGAACACTGGGGAGGGAGTGATTGAAAAGACTTAGGCGATACAGGGTGAAGACAGATGAAAGAACTGAATTAATAAGACTCTAGGTAATGATGTGGGTTGCAGAGATGAGGGAGGTAGGAAAGAATTTATGAGTCAGGATGGAAATTTCATGGGCAGCATAGAGAACATGCCAGGGCTCAGAGCTTCCAAATGGAGCTCTGGGTGACCCAGACAGCAATGGCTAGGGTTTCAGAATGCTGACCTAGACATTGTCATTTCTGCCATGTGCTACAGACTTGAAAACAGATTGGACCGAGGAAGGATTTTGCTTAAACCTTAGATGAGCAGTTACTAAGCCCCATCCCCCCTTTTTTAATCCAGATAGCCATTTAGTTTCACCATTGTTAACAATCTCTGTTAATTAATTTGATATCTAGATTTATTGGTATTATACTTCATATTTCTTTTATTACTAATGTTCATAGATTTCTTTGATCACTTTTCATGTGTATGTATGTATACATATATGGAGTTAAAGAGTATATACATTTAGAAGTGTGATAGGTAATGCCAAATTGCTCTTCAAAAAAGGCATGTAAATGTGAATACTTCGGAGCTTAAGTAGGAGATACACAGGCGTTCATTATATTACCACCCTCAGTCCAATTTGCTTTCAAGTCTGCAGTACCTGTGACATTAGTGTATTTTATGTGCGGCTCCAGACAATTAGGCTTCATTTAATATAGCCCAGGGAGGCCAAAGATTGGTCACCCTAACATAGCGCTTAAATGTAAGTATATACATATGTAGTATCCACCCATACTATTTTATTACTATTTTTCATACACGTGTGTGTGTGTGTGTGTGTGTGTGTGTGTGTGTTTATTTGTGTATTTGTGTGTGTCTTTATCTTTTTTCGGGGGAATTGACTGTTCATATTCATTTTTCTTTCTTTTGGATGTTATTTTATTGACTTTTTTTTTTCCTCAAGATCTGATGGTTATATATATATATATATATATATATATATTATTATTTTTTTTTTTTGAGACAGTTTTTTGCTCTTGTTGCCCAGGCTGGAGTGCAATGGCATGATCTCATTCACTGCAACCTCTGCCTCCTGGGTTCAAGTGATTCTTCTGCCTCAGCCTCCTGAGTAGCTGGGATTACAGACATGCGCTACCACACCCAGCTAATGTTTTGTATTTTTAGCAGAGATGGGGTTTCTCCATGTCGGTCAGGCTGGTCTCCAACTTCCGACCTCAGGTGATCTGCTCACCTCAACCTCCCAAAGTGCTGGGATTACAGGCGTGAGCCACCACACTCAGCCTATTTTATTGACTTTCAAGTAAACTCTATATATTAAAGTTATAAGACTGTCATATTTTTTACAAACATTATTTTTAATTTGCTTGCCTTTAATTTTGTTTGTTTCACTTTTTTTTTCTTTTGAGATGGAGTCTTGCTCTGTTGCCAGGCTGGAGTGCAGTGGTGCGATCACGGCTCACTGCAACCTCTGCCTCCTGTGTTCAAGCGATTCTCTTGCCTCAGCCCCACCCCACCCCACTACGCCCGGCTAATTTTTGTATTTTTAGTAGAGACAGGGTTTTAACCATGTTGGCCAGGCTGGTCTTGAACTCCTGACCTCAAGTGATCTGCCCACCTTGGTCTCCCAAAGTGCTGGGATTACAAGCGTGAGCCACCACCCCCAGTGTCACTTTTTGTTACTGAAATGCACAATTGAGCTTGTCTAACCTGTGGCCCACAGGCTGCATGCAGCTCAGGATGGCTTTGAATGCTGCCCAACACAAATTTGTAAACTTTCTTAAAACATTATGAGATTTTTTTTGTGCTTTTTTTCCCACTCATTAGCTATTGTTAGTGTTAGTGATGGCAGCAGTGGCCCAGCTGCTGCCATGACGCTGGCTGCAGATGGGGAGGCGTAGCCAGGGCTGCCGGCTCCACAGAGCCAGTGAGAGCTGGGAACAGGCAGAAGCCCTGCTCCCTTCCAAGTTGGAGGGGTGGAGCCCTGCCTTCCCAGGACAACTGTAGCCACCTAGCCACAGCTGCACATCCAGGCATCTCTGCACTCTAGGGGCCCAGGAAGCCCCCCTCCCTCTAAAGGCTCTGAATTCACTGCTGTCTGGCCTCTCCCCACTCCCAGCACCCACTCCAATTTTGGAGCAAAGTTGTGGCTGAGCCCAGGTGCTGTCATGACCCAGCTGGGTAGGTGCATGCTCAGGGCAGTGCTAAAATGCCAGCCCCCTACTGCTTCAGCCCCTCCAGACTTTGAATACCAATGAGCAGGGGAGGGAGACCAAGGTCGGTATAAGAGCAGGTAGGGCAGGTCTGCAGGCATCCCTTGGCATGAACAGTCTGGGCACTGTGGATGGCAGGTTAATGGCGGCAGGAGACAGATAGGCTCCTGGGCAGAAAGGGGCAGGTCCCACATGAAACCCCACCTTCAGGCCAGGGACAGCCTGAGGGCTGGGGGCCAGGCAGACAGTTCTGCCAACCAGATTGAGAACTTATAGTGCTTTTTTGGGCCTGCTCATGGCCACTCCTGGACCAATCAGCACATACTTCCTCCCCTCTGAGGCATATAAAAACCCTGGACTCAGTCAGACTTACACAGATGACCTGTCTGTGGAGAGGAGCTACCCACCATGGGTCTCCTTTCTGCTGAGAGCTGGACACTTGTCAGGATGACCTGCCTGTGAAGAGGACCTACCCACTGCGAGTCTCCTCGAGCTGTTCTATCACTCAATAAAGCACTTCCTTGCTACCCTCCACTTGTCTGCATACCTCATTCTTCCTGGACACAGGACAAGAACTCAGGACCTGCTGAATGGCAGGGCTGAAAGAGCTGTTACACAAACAGGACTGAAATATGTCCCTTGCTTGCCACATTGTGGAAGATGAGAAAGAGAGAAGAGAGAAGGAGCCCTTTGGGGAGCCCAGACCTAGGAGCTCCCTGAGTCAGGGCTGTAACGCCCTTTTTGGGGGTGTGCAGTTCCTGGAGTCTCCAAGCTTCTGTGCACCACTGAATTCCCCAGTGTTGGCCATGGAAACCGCTTGCAGTATGCCTGGTCCAGCTGCAGCCTTGCAGAGAACCAGCACCCATGCCAGTGCCTGGAGCTGCCTGCCCTGCCACAGCTGGTGTGCCTGGCTGTGTGTAGCAGCCAGGCCCCATGCTCACTCACTCACAAACCCCTTGTCACTCACACCTGGCTCACTCTTGGAAGGCATGGAATTCAGGCTGGTAGTGTGAACAGAGCAAAGCCTGCCAGGCCAAGTGAGCAGAACAAGCCCAGTGGGCCCAAGCAAAACTCAGGCAAAGGCACCAGTGGCCACAGAGGTTTCTGGCCAGAAAAGTGACACCCCAAGGATCCTGTGACTTAGTGTATTTTATGTGTGACCCCAGACAAATGTTTTGTCTTCCAATGTTTCCCAGTTAGGCGAAAAGATGGGTCACCCTGACATAGAGCTTAGGTGTAAGTTGGATGAATTCTGACAAATGCATATACCTGTATAACCCACATTTCTATCAAAATATGTAATACTTATTGACAGGTGGGATAATCCTTACCTATTCCTCCTTTTGGAGGGTAGATAGGACACGATGATTGGAGATGCATGAAATGTGATTAACGCCTCTGCATAATCAGGACTTGCAATACTCAGCATGCCTATCTGATTGTTTATAACGATCACTACTTTGAAAAAAAAAATAACATATATATAAATATTTCTATTACCCTAGAAAGTTTCCCTGTGCTCTTTCCAGTCAATCCTCATCCTCTCACTGCTCTGCCAGAGGCAACCACTGCTCTGATTTCTATCACTGTGGATCAGTCTTGCTTCTTCTAGAATTTCATGCAAGTGGAATTGTAAAGCATGGACTTTTCTGTGTCTGGCTTCTTCCCCTCAGCATAATGTGTTTGAGATTTACCTGTGTTGTTACAGTTGATACGCTCTTCCTTTTTACTGCTTATTGATATTCCATTGTATGAACATAGCAGTTTGTTTATTCATTCTCCGGTGGGCTGACATTTGGGTTGTCTCTAGTATTTAGCTATTATAAATAATGCTCCAATGAATGCTTTTGTACAAGTCTTTTTGTGAACATATGTTTTTATTTTTTATTTTTTTGGCTTAATATCTAAGAATGGTTTGCTGGATTATATGGCAAGTGTACGTTTAACTTTTTTTAGAAACTGCCATACTGTTTCCTAAAGTGATTGTACCATTTAACACTCCCCCAGTAGTGTATAAGGTTCCAGTTTCTCAGTATCTTGCCAACATATGGTGTTGTAAGTTTTTAAAATCTTAGCCATTCTAGTGGACTGTAGTGGCATCTTGTAATAAGGATTTTCATTTCCTTGATGACTGAGGATGTCAAACGCTTTTTCATGTGCTGTTTGGTCAAATATACCATCATATTGTGGTATATTTGATATAGAGACTTTAAATTTTAAGTAGTTGAATTCATTAACCTTTTCTATTATGAATTTTATTGATTTCATACTGAGAAATCCTTCCTTTTTGGTAGAGATAGGGTCTTTCTATGTTGCCTAGGCTGGTCTCAAACTTCTGGCCTCAAAAGATCCTTCCACCTCAGCCTCCCAAAGTACTGGGATTACAGGCAGAGAAATCCTTCTTAATACCAAAAACTAGTAAATATTTTTACTTTTATTTCCTTATAGTCCTTTATTGGTTAAACTCTTAAACATTACATTCTTTAATCTACCTATATTTTGTTTTAAATTGTAAGTAAACTATTTGTCCTCAGGAAGTTAACCAACTGGATTATATATTGAATAATAACTTCTTCCTTTTTACACCTATTTGATCTACCACATTTATCTTAAACCAGCTTTTAACATATCATTGGATCTATTTCCACGATCCCATTATTGTTGATTTTTTCCACAAATAGTACAGTTTCAATTATGAGGGTTTTAGAGTTTATTTATCATGTAAGCAAGTCTACCTTCATTACTCTTTATTTCTTCAAAAATTTCTTTCTTTGCCATTTCAGCTCATTTACTTGTCTCCTAACTGTCGAGGGCTAAATAATGACCCCTAAAGATGTCCAGGTCCTCATCTCTGGAACCTGTGAATATGTTACTTTACATGAAAAGGGACTTTGCAGATGTGATTAAGATTCTTAAGAATCCTGAGATGATCAAATTATCTTGAATTACCTGGGAGGGGCTCTATATAATCACAAGGGTTCTTGTAAGAGGGAGGCATGGGTGGCAGAGAGAGGAAACCATACAAACAAGGATTGGAATCATGGGGCCACAAGCCAAGGAGTATAAGCAGCTTCTACAAGCCAGAAGAACAGGAAACAGATTACTCCTTGGAGCCTCCAGAAGGCACCAGCCCTGCCGATGCTTTGCTCTTAGCTCCTTAAGACTTATCTTGGACTTCTGATCCCCCGTAGGAGAATAAATTTGTGTTGTTTTAAGCCACTAACTTTGCAGTTGTTTGTTATAGTAGCAGTAGGAAGCTAACACACTACCTTAAAAATTATTTTTAAAAATGATGTTCTAAGAGTTTTCCCACTGTAATTTTTATTGGAACTGTGTTGAGCAGAAAACTTAATTTGTGAAGAACTCACATTTTATACTATTCAGTCTTGCTACTGAAATTTTCCCAGAAAGGCATCTCCATGTCCCTCTACTTCCGCTCATTGCCTGGGTTTCTCAGAGGTAGACCTCAGGCAAAGATTTGAGTGCAAGTAGTCTATTTGGAAGGTGATTCCAGGAAACACACATAGGAGAGTAAGAAAGTGAGGCGGGGAAGGGAGGGCTGCCAATAAAGGGAGTGTTATCAGCAAGTGGCCATCGTGGGTGACTGGTGTTTCCCCTCACGAGGGAACTCTGGGAACCCATGTAGATCATGCAACTCAGGGCTATCCAAGTTTTCCCTAGGGCACAAAGGCATCACCTGAGCATTGGGAATGAAGGAGCATCTGGGTGCGGGTCACACCATCAGACCTAGTGAGATCATCACAGGAGCCTGTCTCTGCAACCACTGGCTGTGTGGGCAACTCACTTCCCTGTCCTGAGTCCCAGCATCCTGGCATTTCTTGGCTCCTCTAAAGGAGGTGACATTACAAAAAGGAATAAAACTGTCTAACTTTGCACAGGATGTTGCAGCCAAAACAGCTTCCCTGAGGAGGTGAGCTGCCTGCTAAGTGGCTAAACAGGTGTAGCAGCTGATCCTTCATCCCCAGCACCTTGATGGATACCTGATTTCCAAGCACAGCACCTGCATCTCTTTGCCCAAGGACTTGTTTTGCCTGCCAGAGTCTATGGCAGGCCACAAGCGCTAGAGAATTTGTCCTCCCAGCAGTCTCCTGCCAATGACTGGCTGAGGTTGGTGTGCACATACCCAGCTCTTTGCTCCTGGGAGGTCGGGGGTGGAGCACTTGGATGGAGGCATGAGTTTGACACCAGCTCCTAGAAGTTCCCCGATGGATTAAACTTCACACTGCATCCTTTCCTGGCCGACTCACTTCCTTGCTCCATATCCCACTCTCCAGCAGGAGTCTTCTGGGGTAATGCTTACACCCGAATCCTTATCTCATAGTCAGCATTTAGGGGAACCCAGACCAAGACAGTAGGCATGCATCAAAATGGCCAGAGGGGTGAGGTAGAGGCACACCAGACCTGGGAACCAAAGGCAGGCACCACTGGGCTGAGAAAGGGAGATTTTGAGCCTGGGGCGTGAGCTGAGCGGGTCTCGGCCCCTTCCTTTGCACCTTGTTTTTATGGCTCTTCTGGCCATTCCTTCAGCTTGGCTGGCTAGTCACCGCGGCTATTTGGGATCTGACCCTGAGACTGGGGTCTCAGTAGTGGTTCTGGCCCCTGGGCCAGCCCCTTTGAACATCCAGGAGGAGTGAGAGTGTCTAGAAAGTGGTTTGTTTGGTTTTACTTAGGCAGCTGGGTCTGCAGGCCACCTGGACTTCATTTTGGTAGAAGAGCTGAGAACAAATGCTTCTCCATTTGGGAGAATTTAACTCATTTCTGAGAGGGGAGAAGCATCAGCAGAGATTGAGCTACTGCTCCAAGGAGGGCATTCGGCTGGTACGCTCCCTGGTAACCATGGGGATGGAGGGAGTGGGAGCCTGGCAGGATCCATATCCCATAAAAACGTTGGTGGCTGGATTGCAAGATGAAGGGCCTGCAGATACCCTCAGACAACGAGTAATTTATGGGGTAATCAGAACTCCTCCTGGAGGGCTGCCAGGGAAGAGGAGCTGTGATTCAGAGCCTTAGGGGCTTGGATGTTTAATGAGGCACTGGGAGCCCATAAAGATTGAGATCAGAATGATTTGCCCTTTTAGGATGCTGAATCTATCTTAGCACTGCCCCTGAAAGGTGCAGCTTCTTTAACTGCTCTTGAAGTCTGGATGCTGGAATCAACTGTCCCAGCCTTTGAGGGGCACCATGTAAGGGCCCAGCCAAGACATCTGGAGACTGAAAACTGTCAGCTGGCTGCCATGAGGGAATTGAAGCTGAGAGACAGTAAGAATCTCAAGCTAGAAAGGTCTTTATCGAGGGATAACTGAAGTCCAGGTGGTCAAGTGACGCGTTCAAAGTCACACAGTGCACCAGGGACCATTAGCACCAGTGATAAGTTTAGCTGGAAGAAAAAAGAAACTGCTAGAGTCTAAGCAGGGAGAAGAGTGGGCATGTTTCCTTCTTGAAATGCAGAAGGCGATCTACAGGGCACAAAAGACAAAAATAGTAGCTTTTGGGGTTTTAAAGCTTGAACATTTAAACTGCTTCCCTAAATGCAAAATATGTATTATGACACTTTGAGAATCTTTAATGGCTGGCTCAGCAATAAGAAGGAGCTTATTAATATTATTAATATGTGGCAATTGACTCATGAAATGGATTAAAAATGGTGCAGTGGCTCATGACTGTAATTCCAGCACTTTCCAAGTCTGAGGTGGGCAGATCACTTGAACCCAGTTCAAGACCTAGCCTTGGCAACATGGCAAAACCCATTCTCTAAAAAAAAAAAATATATATATATATATATATATATATACAAAAATTAGCCAGGTGTGTGGGTGTGCACCTGTAGTCCCAACTATTTGGCAGGCTGAGGTGGGAGAATCATTTGAGTCTGGGGAGGTTGAGGCTGCAGTGAGCCTCCATCTCAAAAAAAAAAAAAAAAAAAAAAGGCATCTATATCTAAGACATATCTAGTGTCTGGAAACACAAGGGCCTGAAATAAGATAGTGGTAGTTTGCTGCACTAAGGGATGAATGAGGCTGGCCCTCTCAAGGGGTCCTACCTGGTCTTGGGCAGGGAATCTTAATTTTTTTTTTTTTTTTTTTTTTACTTTTTTGATTCTAAAGGAAATGCATGTTTACTATAGAAAATTGGGAAAAAACACAATATGTAAAACAATTTAAAAATTACTCATTAACTCCCTCCAACCTCCCCTAAATATCTATTCTTTTTTTTTTGGAGATGGAGTCCCACTCTGTCACCCAGGCTGAAGTGCAGTGGTGTGATCTCGGCTCACCACAACCTCCGCCTTCCAGATTCAAGCAATTATCCTGCCTCAGCCTCCTGAGTAGGTGGGATTACATGTATCATCATGCCTGGCTAATTTTTGTATTTTTTAGTAGAAGCAGGGTTTCCCCGTATTGGCCAGGCTGGTCTCGAAC